GCGGCGGGCCCGCGCTGCCGGCCGCCTCGTGGGAGGGGCAGCCGCTCGACCTCGCTGCTGCGGAGCACTGCGGCCGGACGGGCAGGATCGCGCGCGGGCTGCACGGCGGCGGGATCGCCTTCCCGGAGGTGTGGACCGACCCAGAAGGCCACACCGAGCCGCGCGTCGGGTTCGTGCGGAGCTACGTGGCGCACCTGGAGCGCATCTTTGACGCGGCGGAGAGCGAGGCGGCCGACCTCGTGGCGCGGGAGCCGGAGGCGTGTGCGGTCCTCAACATCTAGGAATTTGTAGGTTTCGGGCTAGCCCGAGTGTGCGAGGACGGAAGAATGTGGTGCCCGTGGAATTTGTTTATTCATTTAAATGATATCATCTCGCGATTGACCCGATCGTCAAGAAATAAATAATGAAAAGAAAAGAAAGAAAGAAAACAGACAACGCAAGGGAGGGATGGGAGGACGGCACGCCGCCACCACACAGGGATACATAATGAAAAAAAGAAAGAAAGAAAAAGACACCCCAAGGGATGGATGGGAGGACGGCACGCCGCCACCACACAGGGATTTTAAGGAGAGGAGTGTGGTAAATAAATAATGCTAAATAAATAATAAATAGAGCAGACATCTCCAGGAGAGATGGAAAGAAAGAAAGAAAGAAAACAGACAAATGGAATAAATGCGTGGGGGAATTCTTTTTCGCGCGACTCTTCGCTTCAGCGGCGCGCAGGCGCGACCTTCTCTTGTGTCCGGCCGTGCGCGTCGAGGCATCTCGGCGCGATGGCGGACGCGCACGTCAGCTCCAGAGATGTGGATGAGCACATCAGCAGTCTGAAGCAGTGCAAAATCATCTCGGAGGACGCCGTCAAGGCGCTGTGCGAAAAGGCAAAGGAAATCTTGATGGAGGAGTCCAACGTGCACCACGTGCCGATCCCCGCCGTGGTGGTGCGCGCGTGGCGGTAGCGGCGGGCGTCGGGGAGAGGGGGGGGCACGGCCAGCGGGCCCCCGGCGGCCTGACGCCCTCGCGCGTGCTTTTGCAGGTGGGCGACATCCACGGGCAGTTTTACGACCTGCTCGAGCTGTTCGACGTCGGCGGTCAGGTGCCCTCCGTGAACTATGTCTTCATGGGCGACTTTGTCGACCGTGGCTACTACTCGGTCGAGACGTTCCTGCTGCTGCTTGCGCTCAAGGTGCGCGTGTGCGCGGCCCCTGCCGCCGAGGGGAAAGAGCCGACGGGGAGAGGGAGGGGCGGTGGTGGTGAGTGAGGTCCCCTCGCGGCACTGCTTTGCACCAGCGCGTGCGCCTGGCTGGCTGCCCGCGCGAG